TCATTTTTTATTTCTCAAAAAATATAAAAAAACAAAAATAAAACCAACTCCGAACATCACTTTGTATCTTTCTGCATTCAAAAAGAATCTAGATCCCACTTATCTTTCTCGGACGGTAGTGAAGAAAGACAAACCAATAGATGATGAAAGCATTGGGCCACACATGAATCGGCAGTTTTGCCCATGTGACCGGCCTGCAACTGCCCTATCCCACCAATATCCCACCAATATTTGGACAAATGTACCTCTACTTTTCCTCCGGTCAAACTTAACACTCTAAAATATTGTTTGTAGCTTAAAATATTGCTTATCATCTTTCATAACATGGAAAACCCAATATCTTAATAATCGATTCAATTGTTGGGTATTTCTTCTAAACAATTCTCTTTTTTTTTATTGGTGTGTTTGTTATTGATTATAATTGTAATTATTTTACTATTGATATAGTAATGACGACAATTACAAGGGACATGTTTGATCAGTTATTTGTCAATGAATGTTAGAACTACAGAAAAGGTGGAAAAAAACATCATAAAGAACAATATCAATTAACACATCGCAAGTTTGCTCTCTCTAGCCCCATGGAGAGGCATAATATAACGAGAAAATAAAAACGAGGCTTACTACTCAAAATAATTGAATGTACCCAAAAGAGTGAGCAACGGTTATTAGGATATTTATGTGATAAGATTCGAAAAAATAAACTATTTAGTAAAATTTTTCAGTCATTAAAAATGTGTTTTAGAAATTCTGTATATTCTTTATTTTAATGTGATTTTGATTAAATCTAATGGTCGACTCTAACGGAAAAAATCCTTATTGATGTCTATAATGTAAATATTAAAGTCGGTATATGTCCATATCCATAATCACATTAGGCATATAAGGTTAAGAGTTGGCAACATGAGTTTTCGTTAATTTTAAGGTTTTTTTTTTTTTTAGAGGAATTCCTTTCAAGGTTAATACTCTAAACTTTTAACCAAATAACTACTTTGTCCTCGATATTATTTTTTTGGGTAAAATTCTCCGTAAAACATTATTAGTGACAACAAAGTTGGAACATGTCGCGTGCATCACATATAACCATCTTTTGGGATAGAATAATAAAAATAATCCTAAAAATCTCTATCATAAATCATAATAAAAATTATCAAATAAGTGAAAACAATCTCAACCGCTGATCTAATTGTTACTTTAATTCTAATTGTTAATTTCTTCAAACTGTTAGTTAAACCCCAACATACTATCATTTAAAAATTCATGAGACGTTTGGTTCATAAATTAGAATCGTGAGATTATAACTATTTTTGATTTACGTGTATTTTTTGTGAGAAAAAATAATGTAGTGAAACATGAACCATGATTCGAATCAAGGTACGAATCATCTTACTAAACGTCACGTCAATAATAAAAGTGTAAGTTCAAACCGTCCAACCAAGCTTAGGCCGGGGACCAACAGTCTAGAAAGGGATTTCGAATGACCCTAAAGAGAAAAAGGTTGTGCTATACAAAATTATGAAATGACGGAAATTGAAACAAAATAATAGATTATGGACCAACTGTACGATGTTTCAAAAATCAATAATAAAAATAAAATTAAGAGTAAACTTCAGAGATCATTTGCATGACTAACCCGTTTTCATTTTGTATAGCACAATAGACATAAGGTATTTGTATTAGATTCTCAGGAAAAAAAAGTATTGTATTAGAATAAATTTCAATATAATTATCTTTTAATTATTTAATTTAGTTTGTAAATGTATGCTTATCCATTATAGTACTTCTTAGCATGCATTTTTTAAATATTCATTATTAATCATTTTAGAGCTTTTAAAAATTCCATTTAATTTAGTGTAAATAAATATCCATATTTGATACAAATTTTCACCTATATCTAAATTTTCATAGATATTTCAATAAAATTAAGGCACCAATATCTACTCCGATATCTTCATTTTTACATTTGTCATGCAAAGACACATTGACACATTCCATTTGACATTTAAGGAATGTTTTCAATGGGACTGCTATTACTGCAGAAAACTTTAATTTACTTGGCTCTTATTTTTTTACTTACTCCTCACAAAACATAGTTAAACATTTGTTATTAAAATAAGGAAAATTCTCTGATACTCTGGCTGTACAAGTATGTCAAATTTTTTAAACCGTTAAATCTATGTATTTTTAAATTTTTACGTGATTGTATGTAAATCTGACAAACAAAAAACTTAAAGCTCGTTTAATTCTCTGATTCGAGTTTTTAATTTGAGTTGAAATGTGACTTTATGTGAGTATTTTTTACTGTAGTAAAAAAGTTAGATGTGACTGTTTCTGAGAGCTTTTTTACTATAAGAAAACTTAAATTTTAAACTCAAATCGGTGAAATGAACGGGACCTTAACCTACTGATATATTAATATACTGAATAAAGTCTCTTAAAATAAAAATAAAAAAAAAATTAAAGAATTTTAGCGACAAACAGTCCTTGAGCAGAGCTTGATCCTGGTGATACTTGAGGGGGTAAATTAGACTGGTGTTCTGTCACAATAAAGAGTTGTCCTCATGTCTCATTCACATGTTACGGCTCATCTATCATGGAAAAGGCCCTCCTCGTACTGTTCCTTATAGATCTGACCCATGTGCTTGCCCTCTCCAGATCCAAAGGGAAATTACTTCCCATTTGCGCTCACATCAATCATTGTTATATGTTATGATTGTTATTTTCCAATTACACTGAATTTCTAGGAAAAAAGAATATACAATCCCAATCCGGACACAGTCCGGTAAATACAAATTCTTTTCTACATGCAATATTCTTTTTTTTTTTTTTTATAAGTTGGAGAGGACTTTTATTAATTAGAAACAATCATTTTGGCACTTACAATCATTGCAATACAACTCGGATAATCCTCCAACAAATAATGATCTGCAATCAAGGAGAGAGAAAACTTAACAGTAGATTTATGTCAATTAAAGATTAACTCTCTAAGAACACTTACAGCAACCTCTCACCGATTAATTAAGGGTTAATGTCACAAAATAATATAGAGAAGATAAGAATTTATAGTAGTTCGGCAAGATTTCTTGGTTTAGTCCACTTGTGAATACACTAATATTTTGTTGATTACAATTTCTCTGAAGTAGTAGAGTAGTGCGTAAAAAACTTAATAAATTCACATGCTAGGCCTTGTACACATGAGAGACTTCCTCTTCATTCCTCGAGGAAATCATCCTCCATCCCTAAATTTTGGAATTTAGTAGTTGTATTTTCATGATTACACCTTTCCAGTCAGGCGAACCACCCTTACTAGCTACTTAATTTTCTGACTCCGACAGTAATAGTTGGTACAGTATATCTTTCCTTAAGTTGATATGACTATCTTTGGATTGAACTGGGCTGCTACCTTGACGTCGTGGCCTTTACCACTTCAGTTGGGCTCTCGACGCACGATATCCCGCATGAACTCTCGACGTATAAAGGGCACCTTAGGTACATTTGATCCCTCGACGCCAGCAACCGATTCTCGACATGGAGGCCTCGGCGCTTGTCGTCCAAAGGAATGGTCAATTCCTCGACCGTGGTGTAACATTAACTAATGCGTGTGCAGCCATATTACAGTTATAAGCAACGTGACTATAAGTACCATCGTTAACTTCAGACATTAAGGTGTTGTTTGGTTGGAGGATTCGTACCCCGATTCGAATCATGGTTCGTGGTTCGCTACAGTGTTTTTTCTCACAAAAATATATGTAAATTAAAAATTATTCTAATCTCATGATTCTAATCTATGAATTAAACGTCTCCTAAGATCTTAATGACATTTATAAAAGAAAATTCAACGACGCAAAGGAAAAATTATTAACAGCACGCACTGTGTTTATGGAGTCGCTCTCGATTAAGGAGACTCTCAGACCACTAACCTTGGTAAAAAGCAGACCTTCCCTTAACGCTATACATTTAGCAGCAAAAGGGAAGAAAGAACCAGAAATCTTCTTAGAGAATGCACCAAGGACAGAGCCCGCAGAGTCACGAACAAGGCCCCCGACTCCAATACAGGAACTATTAGGAAGAACTGAAGCATCAACATTCAGCTTGAAGTTGTCACTATCCGGAGCTATCCATTTTTGAGAATTCGAGACAGGATGGTCTGCTACAATCCACTACTCAAATTGGGCCATCTGAAATTCATGCAACCACATGCTTGTTGCTTCTACATGCAATATTCTGTTGCGTAATTTTAACGTTCAAATTATATAGTTCAATAAGTGTAATATTAAGTATTACATTTGTTGAATTATAAAGGTGTCAGATTTAAGATTTTACCTAAATTCATTCATCATCATTTCTTTAGTACATGTTTAAATTATATGAAAGATATATATTATTACTTTAAAAATCACATTATCATCAATTCTTAATCCTTTAAATATGATGAAAGAAAGAAAAAAAATTAATGAAAGGTGCGTCTATTGATACGCCTATTCTATTTTTTAAACACCATTTTTTAATAAATTTTTTTAATATTAAATAGTTTAATAAAATTACTTTCAAAGACAAAAGTATTTTAAGAAAATAAACACACCCACCTCTTAAAGAAATGATCGCCTTCTAAAACTTCCCTAATTTAAAAAAAAAAAAAAAAACTTATATTTTTTTATTACAATTAGGGATACCCTTACACTATTATGGCTTTATGATTTTTAAGGTAGGATAATATAAAATCAAATCTTTCTGGGCTTGTTTAGTTCGCTGATTTGAGTTTTTAATTTGAGTTGAGATGTGATTTTATGTGAGAGTTTTTTACTATAATAAAAAAATTAAATGTGATTATTTGTGAGAATTTTTTACTGTAACAAAACTCGAATCAGCGAAATGAACAGGTAGTTTCTTCGGAAAACAGAAAAAGTGAGAAGGTGCACTAAAGAACAAGATGTAAGAAATGTTTTTTTTTTTTTTTTAAATTAGTAAGATGTAAGCAATGTTAAACGGAGAGACGGAAAACATGTTCAGTAACTGTCGAAGTTAGCTTTCGATTGCGAATTCTGAAACCAAAATGCAGAAGAAGACCAACAAAAGCTTCAGAAAAATTATCACTCTCTCAATGTCTTTTTCGATCTGGTTGTAAAATCCCTCTTCGGAGCTACAATTCCAAATCAACAATGGCGGGTCTCAAACGCCACTTTCTCCCTCTCCTCCTCCTCCTCTCCATCGCCGCCCTCTTCTTCTACTCTTACCACCGTTCCACTGATCTCTACCTCAACACCCCCAACCCTAACCCTAACCCTAATTTCCCCTTTCGCCGCGAGTTTACCTTCATCGTTAAGGTTTTAGCCTTCAACCGCCTCGATTCCCTCACCCGCTGCCTCCGCTCCCTCGCCGCCGCCGACTACCTCTCCGATCGCGTCCATCTCCACATTCACGTCGACCACTTCAATGGCTCCGCTGAAGTGGATCGCAAGCTGGGGGAATCGCATCGGATTCTGGAATTCGTTGACGGATTCGATTGGAAGTTCGGGGAGAAGATCGTCCATTATCGGACGCAGAATGCTGGATTGCAGGCGCAGTGGCTGGAGGCCTGGTGGCCTAGCTCCGACGACGAGTTCGCCTTTGTTGTTGAGGATGATTTGGAGGTTTCTCCTTTTTACTACAAGTTTCTAAGGAGTTTGATCCTCAATTATTACTACAATGATGCGAATTTTCGTCCGTACATCTATGGAGCTTCTCTTCAACGACCAAGGTTTGTCCCAGGTACTTTGGGTTTCTTTTTTCTGTTTTTGCATCGATGTTTAAATGTGATACATATAATATTTGGGTCAATTTGATACCTTTTTCACTGGCCAGTATTTACTATTTAGCGTCTAAAAGTTTTCTTCACAAATGAGGTATTTGTGGCTTTGGATTGGTAGGAGATGATTGGTGTAAATGAATAGCTATTAAATCGAGCTCTTCTGAGATGAAAATTATCTGTATAAAATGATGCAAAGTATTATATAACGTCGCAGGTTTATTTAGCTTGTATGAAGAATTATGATTCTAATTTTTGCTTTTTATAGCAAATTTGAGCCTTTTTTTTTATGTAATGGTCATCTCTTATTGCTTGATTAGTAGCTACATAGTTATTTCCCTACCTTTTCTTCACTCCGAATGGAAGTTGAATGTGTTTATTGGAGTGAACTAATCCATTCTCTTTCGATAGTGGAGGCATAAAGGTTGTATTGCTATTTACTTCCAAGTAATAGGAATGAACCTTAATCTAGTTGGTCTAAAACTAATTAACATTTAAGTTTGAGTTTTTACCCAATTGAATTTTCTAAGTTTCCATTGCAGATATGGAGCTCCTCATGAAAAACCATGCCTTTGAAAGTAAATGGTTAGGGATTTATGTGAGCTAACAATCTATTCTCTATCCAGTCTTATGTGACTTCTGCCCCGCATTTTTGAAATCATTGACAGATGAAGTTCCATGTTTTTCCTAATTGAGTTACTTTTTTTTTTTTTTACTTTTCCATGTTTCTTTTCCTTTTTTATCTTTGTTTTATCTTTGTTTTATGTTTAATGAAAAAGTTCTTGCTTCATAAATTTTCTTTCCTTTGATTTTATGTGTCTCTTATTCTCTTATTATTCTTTGTGTTATGACTTTTATGTTTCGTGAACAAATTCTTGCTTCAGAAATTTATTTACTTTGATTTAATGTACTTTTTATTATAGGTAAACATGGAAATAAAATGCAATTGGATAGTGGAACTCGACTATTCTTGTACCAATTGGTAGGTACTTGGGGTCAGCTTCTCTTTCCAAAACCATGGAAAGAGTTCAGATTGTGGTATGACGACCACAAGGCCAAGGGTATAAAGCCATTTCTTGATGGCATGGTACGTTTTCTTTTCTTTTATCTATTTTGGGTTATACTGATCAGTATTTTAGGTTATACTGATCAGTATTTTAGGTTATCATTTGTCTTTAGTATTACATGAATATAATATGGAATTTATATTCAGGTAACAACAGGATGGTACAAAAAGATGGGAGAAAGGATATGGACTCCTTGGTTTATTAAATTCATTCATTCTCGGGGCTATTACAATTTTTACACTAATCTTTTACATGAGAGAGCACTGAGTGTCTCTCACAGAGATGCCGGTGTTAACTATGGGAAAACTGCTGGGCCTGATTCCCATTTGTTGGATGAAAACTCTCTTGATTTCGACCTTTTGGAGATGTGGCCGTTGAGTAACCTGAAATGGTATGATTTCTGTTTCAGAGAAGTTCTTCCTGAAAGAGTTGTTAGGAGGTTCGATGAACTTGGGTCTGTTCTTCACTCAGTGCAGAAACAGGAGACCATTATTCTTGTGAGCCTATATGGGGTACCTGAGATGGTTACAAGGAACCTGCTCTGCAACTTTGAGAAGCTAAATATTTGGAACTGTATATTTATTGGCCCCGAGTCAGATTTCCTACTTGAACTTGTAAGAAAAGGACATCCTGTGATAATTGGAGATCTATTTTTGAGGAGTGTGGTACCTCCCAAAATGATGGATATTCAAGATTCCCATACAGAACTGATGCACACCATTTTAGTCAAGGCCTATGTGATTAAGAAGTGCATAGAATTCGGGTACAGTTCTTTGGTGATGGAGGGGAACATGCTTCTTGTTGGTAGGTATCCTTATCTCGAGTTTGATCACAACTCTGACTTCTTTGCTGGAAAGAGCTCGGACCTTTTCTTCATTAGAAGCTCAACTTCTGCTCGAAAAATTTGGGTTGATAAGTTTATCTCGGATGTCGCAATTACAGTGAACTCTTTGGTGAGTGAAAAAGAGACTACAAGTTTTGTGCATGTAGTGGCCAACTTATTGGTACAAAAGGGTGTGACAATCAAGAGAGTTGATGAGACAAGCTTTGGCGTTGATATTGCAAGCAGTGGTAATGTTAATCAATTTTCTTTAGGGACTGGAAAAAAGATTGTTTTCTGGTCTAGGAAGATAGGTTCAGATTTAGTTAGGAAGCGGCTTGAAGAATTGGGTTTATGGATGGTAGATGATGACCTTTCTTGCAAGGCTGTTGTGTGTCACCAGTCATAGCATCTGTTGTGTTGTCTGAATCATGCCATCAAATTATGGCAGGCATAATCATCAATTTTGACAAGTTTTAGTACGATGCCATTCAATATAAGTTGTCTTCTTGATTAATACTTGGGTAACAACGGATATGGGTTTTTTTTTTTTTTTTTTGAGGGAGAACGGATATGCTATTACATAAGATAAAAGTCATGAGTTGTCTTCTACTTTTGAAAAAATTACACAAATTGGCCAATTGAGTTGGCCTGTTATCATTTACTAGTTAGAATATAATAATTTTATAAAGCTTTGATAAAACACTTGCGCTCATAGCGTAACTAAAAAGAGTTTTAACTATATTCACATTATTTTCATAAATGATATGTTCAAATGCACTTTAACCCCGAACTTTAAATCGTTTGGCAATTAATCTTGTGAACAAAAAGGGTTGATCATCTAAACGGCGTTTACTCTTTTATCTATTCTCATTCAGTTTCAGTTGTTATTCACACCCATTTTATCGATTGTTAATTTCCGATTTCGGAGAAACCGATGGCGTTGGTTGGTTACCAAACCAACCAATGTCCCCCGTGACTGACCGTAGATCACTACTTAGCGCGATGTGGTCTGTCGTGAAGAAGTGCAAACCATGACCTTCCCATGATCTCTGCTCTTTCATAGCTCATAACGGAACTACTCTAGACTTTGGAAGTTTTTTGCATGGTATCTTGGAGCATTTGGTTGGCTCGGAACTCCTTTGTGTTTGAGGGAATCCAACACGCTTGTAACAACTGTGCGGAGCAGGCCGGTCACCTCCTAGGTGAATTTCAATGTTGCAATGTGGATGTGGTGGACTTTCCGCGTGAGGTGGTGACTCGTGCGGTAGATGGCTAGTGGCGAGTTAACCTAATGGGCTGTGTGAAAGTAAATGTTGGTGCTGCAATGAAGGACTCGACCATGTGGGGCATTGGCGTGGTAATAAGGAATGATCTAGGCGTGGTGATAGCTGCAATGGCCAAACGTCTCCGGACAAAGCTTTCGATCCATGTTGCGGAGTGCTTAGCGGCAAGAAAAGCCACGATTCTTATTGGACAATTCGGTTTTTCAAATAGGGTCAGATGCTCTGAATGTGGTATGAACAATTCAAAGAAGTTCCGCCCGAGGCTCATAAGTAATGTCATAGATAACATTAAGGACATGTTTAGTAGCTTATATTGTATTGTATTGTATTGTATTGTATTATCATACTACAATACGGTATTTGGTCTCATGACGTATTGTATAAGGGGTCAAAATGCAAAATTTTAATAATTTTAGTCAAATACAATTTTTTTTTTAAAAAATTTTAGGGTCAAAATATATTTTTTTTCAAAAGTTTTGGGGTGAAAATGAAATTTTGTAAAAATTTTAGGGTCAAAGGTAATTTTATAAAAGTCTTGAGGTTAAAATGTAATTTTGTAAAAATTTTGGGGTCAAAATATAAAATTTACGTTGTGCTCCCTAAATTTTTCAACAATTATAGGCTCTGGCATCATGACCCTCTGTCAACTAGACCCTAAACTCTAGTCATGCCCAACCCCAACATGAATCATTGATCCACTATAAAATAATACAATACAATTGCAAAAAATGAGTCGTATTTAATAATACTACATAGACCGTATTAATTTATCATCCGTGTTAGTTTATACAATACAATTGTCACACCAAACATTGTATTATTGTATTATTACACAATAAGGTGCTTTAATATGGCCGAACAAACATGCCCTAAGATGCACCGTATCGTATTGTAGTGTATCGTATAGTATTATATTGCATTATATAATTTTTATACAATACGGTGTTTGGTTGGTGGTATTATTAAACATTATACTATTTTTACCATTGCAATCTATTTACGTATTAGTTTGTAATAAGATAAAATTTAAGCCTAATTATAACCTAATTCGACTCTAATCTCGACCCGAACCCAACATTTAGAGGAAGTAAGGGATAAAGTAGAGTTGCTACATAAGGGTCTTTTTACAAAAAAAAATTGGAAAATGGGGTCAAATTGTAATTTGTAAAAATTGAGGGGTCAAAACATAAATTTTTTAAAATTTTGGGATCAAAATATAATTTTTAAAAAGTTTAATGGTCAAAATGGAATTAAAAAATATAAACGCAACATCATTCCGGTGTCGAAACTTGACCCCAACGTCAATCCCAAAACCCAACCCTAAGCCTTGATATTTGTGAAATATTTTATATCTTTTTAATATGATATTTTAAGTTAAATTGTATAATACAATTTAGTACATAATTTTTTTTTCGTATTAAATATCACACTTCGTATTGTATTAATTTTAAATCTCGTATTAAATTATATAATGTATATATATCACCAAAAATTATATTATTTTATTAAATAATATAATACAGAATGCTTATATGGTTTACTAAACATGCCCTAAGGGTATTATTCGAGGCGCTGGATGTAATCCCATTTGTTACACTCCCTTTCTGTGAATGGTGTAGCTCCATTTTTTGGCTAGTCATGTCTTATCTAATTCTATTAATTATGTCTGAAATTCATATGTGATTCCATTTGTTACACCCTCTGTCTGTGAACAGTGTAGCTCTATTTCTTGCTAGTTACGCGTAATCAAATTCTATTAATTGTGTTTGAAAAGTTTCTATTCCATACTTCATAAGTTCCCATTTATGAATTCAATTTTCAAATAATAATATGAAGTGTAGTTTAACAATTTTTTTTTTAAGGGAACATCTACAAGATCTCTTAAAAAAAATTTTCGGTCAAATACTCTGTTTTGACCATTGAATACATTTTCAACGGTCAGGTTTATAAGTTATGTGCGACACACCATAAATTTTTAATACAAATTTACACAGATCTAATCATTGAAAACTTAATTCAACAGTGAAAATGAGGTGTTTTATCGGTATAATTTTTTAAGGAGTCTCATTATAAAGATTCTCATTTAATTAATTAAAAACTTAATTAATCTACTTGGCTTCAATTCTCCATATTTTCATATATTCGAGCCTAGTTCTAATTGTGTTATTGTATCCATATTTAAATTTTTAAGAGCATCTCTAATGTAATGTTATAATTAATTTGTTAATTATAAATTTAACATTTGAATGTAAAAATACTCTTTAATACAATACTAGTTGTTTTGCCAAATTTATCATGTTCTATACTTTGTGGAAATGTTTACTATTAGTATCATGTTCTATAAATGCAATGCTAAATTTAGTATTTAATTATTATTAGTTAAAATATTTACTTTTTAATATAATCAATGTCACTTTTATATTTTTTAATTATTTTAAAAATAAAAATTTACTTTTATAATTTTTAAAATTTAATAATTATAAGATAAAATAAATTTAACATTTTTGATGTTAAATATACCGTTAACATTAATATTAACATTTAAATCTAAGACGGTCTAAAATCAAATTGCCACATTCACGATTCACCCCGAAAACCAATAAACCACCCAAAAGCCCTAAACAATATTTTGGTAACGAAGTTTCCTGCAAATACAGATAATAACACTTCGGAGACCCTCCCGAAGAAGAAGAAGAAATCAACCTCGGCAAGCATCCTTAATCTATCCAAACACTCTT